TCAGGAGTCGTGATTCTACGTCATTCTCTACCAGATCAGGCTCAGAACGGAACTCTGCTGGACTGGTGGTCGACTTATCTCCGGCACTTCCAGCAGTCAAACCTGCTCTGCGAATATCAATGAGCGGAGGGTTGTCGTTGACATCAGTGAGAAGGATTGTTATGGAGGTTGTGGCTGATAGTGGCGGAGTACCTGCATCGCGTGCAACAATCCTAAGTACAAATTTCCTGTCGTCTTCGTTTTCATAGTCTAATATGCCAGAAACAGTGAGAATCCCGGTTTCTTCGTCCAAGGCCCACTTATTTAACTGACTGTTAGTGCGCGGGTAACTGGAGGCCCGGTCAATTATGTAGGTTATTTTGGCGTTGTCACCAAGATCAGCATCTGTGGCGCGAAATGTGTACACCTTGTGGCCGAATTCGGTGTTTTCTTTGACCTCAATTGAGAGTTCTGTATGGTGACGAGGCTGGATAAACACTGGCGGGTGATCGTTAACATCGTCCACCTTTACCCGAAGAAGCAGAGTTCCGGTTAGGGATGGATTTCCCCCGTCGGATGCACGAAGCTCAAACCAATAGGCGGCTTCTCGTTCTCGGTCCAAATTTTGCGACACAAGTAGATGTAACTCTCCGTTTGGGGACTTTGAAGTCTGCTTAACCAGTCGAAAGTCGTTCCGCTGACTTTTATTCGCTCTCGGGTGAAGGATGCTTCGAAGTTCATAAGAGGAAACTCCAAATTTCCTCGAATCAGGGTCATGGGCACAGGGAAGAGACAGCTGCGTGCCAATGTTGGCGGATTCAGCGACAGTTATTTGAAGGTAGGGCAGACTGTGATAATGTCGCGGCAGCCATCCGGGCAGGTTGTCAGGCTCACCGGGACGCAAGTCGAAACTTGGGGGATTATCGTTCTCATCGGAGAGCGTCACGAGGACTTCGATTACAAGGGGGTGCGGTTCGGAAGTGAAGAAATATGCCTCCGCTTGAAGAGTACAGACCGCCTTTTCACAGCACTTGAGCCTTGCACAGACTACATCCCGATCAAGAGGAAGTTTAGTGAACAAATCGCCGTTGGCCTTCAGCTCAAACTCTCTGTCTGGCTTGAGCATGTGGCTGGGAAATGTCTGATCATAGGAGGACAAGCTAGGAATGTGGGTGAATAGATTACCCAAACGAAAGTTGGGCCCTGTATTGTCACCGAGAGACAGTTGTACTTTGTAGTGTTTTTGGCCGAATGTGAAGCCGATCGAGAGTGTGCTCAGTGTTGTCCATATTAGAATTAGCATACTGAGCAGTCTGCTCGTCTGATTCCTTTCTCAAACTAATAAGTAGAAGCACGAGAAGGCACGCGCCCTTTAAAGGCCAGACCTGTAGATGAGGTCGCTTAAAATAACCAACACAGTCTGCAGCTTCTTGCCAACTATTGGCAATTTTGGTAGATGTTGTCGTTTTTCCATCTCCAATTCCGCTTGGTGTCAGCCAATCAGCAGTCAGACAGCTGGTCACCCCGTACAATGGACATTCACGCATGCTGAGTAGACTGATTGGCTAATGTTCTCCGGCGCGCGCTATTTGATGCAAACGCCGGCGCATTTGGCTCATGTGATGCCACATGACGCCTGGTGGCATGAAAGGAACTCAAACAGCCACTACCCTCTTTAGTCTAAAGGCTTAAAATACTTGAACAGTCTGGGTCGCCTGCAAAGGCCTAGCGGGAAATAATTTTTGCCTTGACTTCAGACTCCTACATGATGGTTCAGATCGGAGGTGCATCATTATCTGCAGCTTCATCTTCTTTGAGTTCTAATTGCCTCTGTCCAGTAGCCCAAATGAGTATTTTTTTGCACACGGGGATTCAATTAGTCACTTCTGGTATCTCATTGGCCATCTCGTAGATATAAACATACAAGTTGTTGAAGCTATATGCATTATTGCAATTCCTGCATGCAAATTTTGTGATGAAATTTAACTTAGTAGTTTAGCATGTATTTGGACAGGTTATTTTGCTCAACTGAGTGGATTTAATAATACAAATGGCTTCAGTTTGGAAAACTGCCCTCTTAATTAAGGTTATAGAGCGAAATAGGCACTAATTTTGGCTAAATCGTAAGTATGTTTATATCGAAGAAATTTCCTATGCTATAAGGACAGAACCAAACTTTTTATTAATATGCTTTGTGCTATGGAAGAATTCCCGAATAAGTAGAAAGAAGTGGAAAAATTATCCCATCCAGAACTGGAAAATTTTGTCTGAAGTTGCTCAAATGGAAGTGAAGCCAAGTTTAAGTAGTCGAATCAAAAACAAGCAGCAAGTTAAGTTTTAAAAATTATGTAGAGCTAATCTGTGAATTTTTTTGCACAAAATGCAGTAACCGTCGAATTTTGTTTTACTGCACGGCTCACCTTGGCGTATAAGCAGTGTTCGCATATGTTACCGCGAAGATAATGTATAGAAGGCTTTGTTAAATGTAATTCATGTAGAAATATACTTTTTTTAACTATAATTTCCGTTTATGTGTTATTTGGAAACGGAACAGACAGAAGAATAATAAGTATTTTAAAAAATAGCCATAGACACAGCCAGTCTTTTTGCATTCACAAGCTAATAAAAGATCGTATAATTAATCCACTTATGCGGAAAATAATCCGTTATAAAGAAAAAAAATAAGTTCTTTCATCTCCAATCAAATTGAATCGTTTATTTTTCAGTTACCATAAACATTTGTCAAATGTCTTCAATTTCATTGTGACATTACTATCGTTAGCTGAATATCCCATTAGAACACTTTTGAAAGAGGTAACC